GGTCATGATGACAACATAACATGACCATATATAGGCACATCATGGCCATATATAGGCACATCATGGCCATATATAGGCACATTGTGACTACATATAGGCACATCATGACCATATATAGGCACATTATGACCATACATAGGCACATCATGACCATATATAGGCACATCATGACCATATATAGGCACATCATACCCATATATAGGCACATCATGACCATATATAGGCATATCATGACCATATAGGCACATCATGACCATATATAGGCACATCATGACCATATATAGGCACATCATACCCATATATAGGCACATCATGACCATATATAGGCATATCATGACCATATAGGCACATCATGACTATATATGTAGGCACATTATGAATATACATAGGCACATCATGGCCATATATAGGCACATCATGACCATATATAGGCACATCATGACTATATATAGGCACATCATGACCATATATAGGCACATCATGACCATATATAGGCACATCATACCCATATATAGGCACATCATGGCCATATATAGGCACATCATGACCATATATAGGCACATCATGACTATATATAGGCACATTATGACCATACATAGGCACATCATGACCATATATAGGCACATCATGACCATATATAGGCACATCATACCCATATATAGGCACATCATGACCATATATAGGCACATCATGACTATACATGTAGGCACATTATGAATATACATAGGCACATCATGGCCATATATAGGCACATCATGACCATATATAGGCACATCCTGACTATATATGGGCACATTATGAATATACATAGGCACATCATGACCATATATAGGCACATCATGACTATATATGGACACATTATGAATATACATAGGCACATCATGACTATATATGGGCATAAATTTCTTTGTCAAAGAAAATTTGATAGTGTGGACGGAACTTTCGGGAGAGGAAGGGTCACATAAAATGTAGGATATGAAAAATAGATAATCCCAGATTGATAATGAAGTTTAACTACAATATAATAAATAAAGAACATTACAATGCTTTTGGGTGTGGCTACTTCAGAGGGACAAGTGGTGAAGTCACTTAAAGCCTTGATGTTGTGAGGGCAAAGTTCAAGGCTAGTAACATGCAGTCAGTGTAACCGTGATGAAATGCTGAGTTGGGGTTCAATTATTTCGAGTGGAAATACCACAAGTCAACGAGTCAAACTACCTAATACTACTACAGTTAGTACATATTGCAAAAAAAAAAATAATTTAAAAATGCTTCCAGAGTCGCACGCAATTCATCTGACCGCGGGGAGCGCACTTTTTCCAGCCCTAGTTGTGTACGGTACTTGCAGGAAAGCATAACAGAACAAAGCATGCATCCAGTAAAAAAAAAAATTCACTGAATGCTTTACAATAATCTTTAAACTTCTGGCATAAATTATGAGTAAACTAGGTAACTGAGTAAGAATTATTGTCTGTGATGTGTCTAAACACATATAACGTCTGGTAATTGCATTGACATAATTCCTGGTAATATTTGATGGTTAGTTTAAAATAGGGTCGTGGCATACATATAGAAACACACAATGCAATGGAGTAAGCAAGACATTTTCAATGGTAAGAGCCAAGTGCTATCAAAGCCTATTAACATTGTGAAGGGAACTGCATGCCAACAATCTTCTGTAATCCATGAAATGCATTTTCCAGTTGTATATCTAGCAGTCTTGAATGGGGGGGGGGTGGGGTGATGGAGAAGCGAAGGTAAAGCGAAGGTGTAGAATCGATGATTGAATATGTGAGGGATGCTAGCTGGTTAAATATTTTGACATCAGGTGATTTGCGACTACTTGAGCATATTTTTCTGCGCTTAAATATTTTTAGTGGTGGTGGGGTGGGGTCCCACAAGCTTTTTAGGAAGGCGTGCATCCTAATAATCTAATGAATAATTCATGATATATGGAGTTATCTATAAATAATTCATAATTTAATTCAGAATTATTACAATAATTTTAAATGAACCTGGGAGTTATAAAATTCAAAGGGCTAGGCCTGTAAAATGTTCATGCTTTCAAAATAATGAATAAATCATAAATATAATGAATAATTCATGATCTGTGTAGTTATTCATAAATAATTCATGATTTTAGGGATCTATAAATTACTGAACCTGGTACTTACAAAATTTAAGAATCTAGACATGTAAAATATTAATGCATTTAACCATTAACAACACCTTGACCTCAGATAATTGAGTAAGTGTCTAGGCCATGAATTGTAACCCTACGAGGGCGCACTTACTCTAGGTCAACAATCAGACACGGCCGAAATAGTTCAACCAATTATTAAACTCTCATTGACGAAATGGAACTGATGAGAGAGTGGCACAAAAATGACATAAAAAAAAATTGGTCGTCCGTTCTCATGACTCTGCCATTAAACGAAAACGATTTTTAACGTAGTATGACAAGCGTAACAAATCACAGATCAATACTTTCACTTGATTCCGGTCTCAGGAAATCAGTTAGCATTATTTCAACTTGATCAGTCATGAAAATGGAATGTGTTAACATGGTTTTTTTTTTAACTTGACTATTTTTTCATGTACTTACGGTGATATGTAGTTTGGAGTACCGCACATTGTGTAGTGTTTCTCGCTCGGTAGATTCAACTTCGTCGCAAGACCAAAATCTGCTATTTTCTAAAAAAGCATAAAATTTTTTTTTTTTTTTTGAAATCACAATGCAACACAAAAAAAATATATAAGTATTTAAAATGAGGTATAATCTACATTTCAATTTTATTTAATCCGAATCTTGTTGTATTCTACATGGAATATTATTTTATTGAAGGCCTATCCTGCATCTGTGAATGACTCGGCAATCACGGGGAATTATGTAATAAACATTATTATGAGGTAGAGTATACTGGATATATGCAAAAGTATTATGGCATCTCAAAGGATTCGAACCCATGACTATGAGAGTGGAAGGTAATCATTTTAACAATCATGCAACTTTACTCACACAAAAAATAATAACTGATAATAATTAACTTAAAGAAAAAAATAACTTTAGACTTAAAAATGAGTTTGGCAATGAACAATAGTGATGACGCGACTTCCATGCTGCAAGAACACATAATGAATCAAGGTTGACGAGAGGCTACAACCTTGATAATCGTTAGTCTGACCTACATCTGCAGTACAACTGTTGCATTATTAAGTAAGTATACACGCACATTCCCTCATGATTCACTGAATGTCGAATGGTATTCAGTATGTCTCAACACTATTAAATTTTATGTGACAAATTTGGGCATACATCACATTTATTTGTCACATAAAATTTGATAATGTGGACAGGGCTTTAATTTAAGTCCTGTCCACACTATCAAATTTCATGTGACGAATTTGTGTGATATGTCCATATATGGTCATGAAGTTATTTATTACAGCCAAATATGGGCATATATCATATTTATTTGTCACATAAAATTTTATAATATGGACAGGGCTTTAATTTAAGTCCTGTCCACACTATCAAATTTCATGTGACAAATTTGTGTGATGTGTCCATATATGGTCATGAATTTATTTAATACCACCAAATATGGGCTTTGTCACATAAAATTTGATAATGTGGACAGGGCTATAATTTAAGTCCTGTCCAGACTATTAAATGTAATGTGACAAAAAAAGCTATTGTGCCTATATATGGTCATGATATGATGTTGTCATCTTGACCATATTTTATAGGAATGTCACATGAGTAGAATTTACTGCTTCACCAAAATAAAACCATAATATTAATATTAAACAGCAAACTGTCTGTCTACATTAGCCATTTCAATCTGTGAGGGTAAACTGTCCGTCTACATTAGCCATTTCAATCTGTGAGGATAAAATTACTTAGTTTGCATACAGTTCACGTAGGCAAGGGGGGAGTAGTCATTTTTGAATAGTTTATTTTCCCCTGTATATGTGTAAATTTGGCAGTAGAAAGTACAGCCCCTTAAATATCAGTTGGAACTGACCAATGAAATGTTTTTAGTATTTAGCTTAGGATAGATCTAATTTAGTTTTTTCCCTTTTGGTTCACTCAGCAAAAAGACCTTGGTTATTATGCACTATATAAATCCCAATACATACATTACATACGTTGCTATTACTTAATATTTCTGGTATAGTAATAAATGTTATCTTACACAATTTAGATCCTTCGTGAGGAGTATATTAGCCAGAGTGAGATCCCTGTGAAGAATCCCGTGCGAATGCAGGTACAGCAAGCCAATGACAATCTGATGCATCAGATGACAAGCTAAAAAAACAATCATAATATAAAATAAATAATTAAATACTAAAATAAGGTGCAGTTTATTGCTAAAGTCTGTCCACAATAAATTAAGTTAAGTGACAAATTGAATGCCGGTACAGTAGGCCGATGACAATCTGATGCATCAGATAGCAAGCTAAAAAAAGAGAAACAATCATAATATAAAATAAATAAATACTAAAATAAGGTGTAGTTTATTGTTTAGGTCTGTCTTTGTCACTTGAAACATTATAGTGTGGATGGAATTTAAGATTTTGTTATAGACCATTTTATCGGATTTATTCTGAAACAGCGCTGCCAATGTCTCAAAACTCAACGGGGGACTTTCAGCGGCCTAGCCTAAGCAGCTGGCTAATTACAAGTAGAGCACCACGCAGTGGATAGTGCCGCTAGACCTTTGCTACTGTTAGCAGTAGAAAACAGATACGATCTTGCTATTATTACTGTATATGTAAACATTGAATGGCTTTTTAAGACATAGACTTGTTTTTAATATAAATATTGTGTTTTTTCCGTTTTAAAATATTTGTGCTCGTTAGTAATTTAGTTTTATCTTTGATTTAATCCATGATGTTAACTCGCTCAGTGAAATTTTCATTTTAAATTTTGCGAAAACGGTCTATACATCATGTTTACAGTATGTCAATGTCAACTAAAGACGTAACAATTCTCTTCATTCATAAAAATAGATTTTATGAGTATAAATTATGTAACAAGTTGGACAGAATTATTAATTACTTTATGTTAATATTATTAACTGAACCTCTGCCCTCTGATTGTACCAGATTAAGTATTCATCCAATTATTTACAAAATTTTAAATATTTTGTTTGTATGATAAAAACAAATCTTTAGCATGTCCTATAGAGGGCAGTCTTCATCATATTTCTGTTATCAGGAATCAGATATATTGTTATAATTTATTGCAAGAAATCATGTGATGAGAGAAATTCCAAGATATTTAATTATGTGCAATTCCCTAAATACATAGACTTCTCCCCACCCCAAACTTCACCCTCTGTGAACACTCTGTTTTTTGTCTTCAACAGCCAATTTTCTGAGCCTACCCTTCCTGTGCCCCGCCCCAGCTCTCTACCAAACTCTGTGTCTTCATACACCGGTTCAACTCTCCATTGTGACACATTTCCAGCACAATGTACACATATAGTTCTCCTCTCCTCGCCTCCCCCTCTCTTTACCAAACTTCATCCTCCATAAACACTATGTTGTATGTCTTCAATAGCCAATTCCCTGAGCCTACCCTAACCCTTTCCCGCATCCACTTCTACCAACCTTCATCCCCTGTAAACACTATGTTGTGTGTCTTCAATAGCCAATTCCCTGAGCCTACTCCAACCTTTCCCCTCACCCACTTCTACCAACCTTCATCCTCCGTGAAAACTCTGTTGTTGGTCTTCATAAACCGGTTCAACTCTCCATTGTGGCACATTTCTAGTACAAGGTACACATAGTTCTCATCTTCAAAGTAACTATACAACTAAATCGTAACAAAGGGAAAAAAAACATTGAAGTTAGAAGAGGAAGTATATAAAAAGAGATATTTATCATACCATATACTGTATATATTCTCACGTATCAGATGCATCATACAATTTTTTTTTAATTTTCAAAAATTATGTTTATCTTTAATGTGCGTATTGTCCATAACACACACTAAACAGGACGTACTGTAGATGTGCAGGGGCCTAAGCCTAACATTTGTGGAAAAATCTCAATGTTTGATGGCCAGTAACCCTTAGCATTAGCACACCATTAAGGAAAACTGCTTAAGTTCAATTTCCAATCAATTTGGTTTAGTTTACTGGGAGTTATGATGATCCCTACAGCAATAACAAGGCAATAGCAATCTCCATGTAAACACTGCTGTGCCAATCCATTGTTTACATCCAACACCCAAATTAGGTTATGTGACGCCCATCACCAAAGCGGTCTATTAAATTATACACTGAAATCCATGAACTTTATTAAGCCTAGACCTTGGATTTGGGGATTTGAAGGCTAAACACAGGCTTCGTCCCAGTGGATCGTATCGAAAGGAGGAATTACCTCGGTGAAATGGAGGGGTACATCTTATACACCCGACATATAAAAATTGTCCAAAAATCTTCTTAAAATCGGTGGTCATCTTATATGTGGATTGCCTTATAGGCGAGAATATACAGTACTAAGGAAAAATGAAAACGGACAACAGAACAGAAGCTTACAATGTTATAAGAAATGTAAGTTTAATAAAAAGTGGGAAAAAGAAATGTTGGCATGGTATCCAAAAAAAAAAAAAAAAAAGGACTCCATTCAACTCGCCCCTAGCAAACTCATCCACTAACAAACTCGCACTCTATCATTGGTGTCTTTCCAATTCTGCAGATCTAAGTCAGTTACTTGTAGAACTAGAAAGTCAATTGTTAGGAGGCAAGTTTGTTAGTGGACGAGTTTGATAGGGGTGAGTTTGTGGTAGTTTTTGTTAATAAAAAAAGAAATGTAACACTATTTAAAATTTTTACCTCTAGTATTGATGGGTGTTTCAGTTGGCAATGTATCTCCACTTCATTCCGTACACGACGCACCATCCCAAACGACTGCATCAGTTTCTTGTCAATCTGTAAAGGATAAAACATCGTTAGATGAAGTATGAACATCAATTGTCAAACAGAAATGTAAATTACCAATCCATGTTGTATTCATTACGAAAATTGGCACACACAAGAGTATCTGTATGCGACAAATAAAATAACAACAATGTTAACTAAAATAAAAGTTTGTCACTTTAAATGTACACAAATGCTGTACCTACTGCCGTAGGCATTAGCTAATATTTTGTTTATATTTATTTATTTATTATTTTTGTGTGATAACACTTTCAGTGACGTAGCACTGATATCACAAGTAAAAAGAATAAAAGAAAACCAAAATGAAAAAAAAAAATTGAACTTAAGTCAACACTAATGAGAAAGAAAAACAATGCGTATATAAATATAAAACTATGCATCGAAAACAAAATAGCTTAAAACTTACAACAAAATTGAAAAGGAAAAGCTGTTTGCAGTGCGTTCATGTCGGCACTGCAAACAGCTTTCGATCACCACAGACAAAAAGACATCGGACATTCGTGGCAAAAATTATAAAAAACAAAATTAAAAGTTTGATGTGACTGCAACAAATACCAAATCGTATGAAAATCTACCGCATAAGAGAGCTATGTGCTTCACTGCAAATGATACAAATCAAATTTTGCATTTATAAGCAGATTCTGTAGCTTGTTTAAGCCATGCAATTAACATATATTACAATATATATAATAAAAATGTATTTATACTGTTTAACTGAAGATGACATAGCTCTAACTGGCACTGTGTTTCCCTATGTTGAGGTAAGCTACAATAGAAAGGGGACACATTACAAATGACCATAAATCTTACCATCTTGATAGCAACTTCTAATCCAGTCGTCAGGGATCTTGCTCGATAAACACAGGCAAAGCCACCTTTGCCAATCAAGTTGAGGACTTGATAGTCCTGTAAAAATGCAGATATTATTATTTTATATGAATATTGTAATGGTCATCTAGAGAATCTCCTCTAGGAGATTCTCTAGATGTAGTATTATTTAATACTTTATTTAAAATTCACTGACTCAATTAGCTTAATTAAATATGATGCAAGAGGTGGTCCTATCCAAAACGCCAAGTCTAACATAATGGCTAACACCTACAAACCACCTCAATGTAGCCTACACTACCTAAATTTAAATTATTCATAATCGGCCCTAATTTTTCGAAATCCGCGGATGGATTTCTAAGCAAAATTTTTGCATAGAGAATATATTCCCTGCTCAGGCCTTTCTATACACTCTTGCCCCTTTATGCAAGGCCTGTAGATTGAAGAAGTTATAATTATAAAAAGATAAAGAATCCATTTAGGCCTATCCAGCTCTTTCTTTTTCACTCATTATTGATATTAGGCCTACTTACATTTCAATCAATGAAAGAATAATATTTTAATACAGTACAGTACAGTACAGTGTAGGCCTAGGCTGGCTATAAGAACTGGCTTTTAAACTATTATTATCTAGGCCTAGGTCTCTTCTAGGCTAATAGTACACAATTGTTAGGCTATGCCTTCCAAAGTACCCTTTTACTACCACTCCCTCCCCCACCCAGACGACCAAGTCTTTGAGTCTGCATGAGAGGCGCGCCTGTCAGAGGAAGCAGTTCATCCAGGCTAGCCTAGCTATCCTACTAGTTCTAGGCCTAAGGCTAAGCCTAGGTCCTACTAGAAGGAGCCTAAAGAAGGTCTGAGAAATGATTACCTCGATGCTTTCTCCTATCGGTGAAGACATACTGACTTATCAGAATGATCAAAGTCTATTCATTCAGTTCTTTCAATATAATATAGTCCATGTTTATAAGCAATAACAACCTCCAGAATATAGGTCTACATTCGAAAACACAAACAGTTAAAATTTTGAAAGGTCGCGGGTCTGTTGTTTTGTGTGTGTGTCGGCGGCGTGTCAAGCTCAGCTGCCCTCTTGAGGTAGACATCGTTGATTGTTTAAAATGAGGGCGCAATTGATAAAAAGTTACAAATGAGGTTGGCTTGCAGGTTCATAAATAATTAAGTATCTTGAAGTTTTGAATATTCATTTCACCTAGCCCTCTATGTTATTGTCGACAAGGTCTAGTGAACACACACTTCTGCTGTCCTAGCCTACACACGGACTCTTTTATGTTTAATAAACTGTACCACTTTGAAAATTAGTGTAATAGTACTGAAAGTGTCTACAGTATAAAGAAAGAATAAATAAATAAATAAATATATTGGATTAATATATAAATTATAACAAAAAATAAAAAGAATATGGGCACTACTGCAGGTGTTGTTATATCTTATACATTAATACTTGCAGTAGATTGGCACCGCTACTGCAGGTGTTATTATATTTTATATATTAATCCTTAAATGGGCACCCCTACTGCAGGTGTTATTATATTTTATATATTACTTCTTAGATTTGCACCGCTACTGCATTAATGATGTGGTTATATTTTATACATTAATCTTAAGATAGGCACCGCTGCTGCAGTTATGAGCACCGCTGCTGCAGGTGTTGGTATATTTTATATATTAAATCCTTAGATGGGCGCCACTACTGCATTATGGGCACCACTACTGCAGGTGTTGTTATATTTTGTATATAACAACATCTAAGGATTAATATATAAAATATAACATCACCTGCAGTAGAGGTGCCCATAATGCAATAGCGGTGCCCATCTAAGGATTTAATATATACATTATGAGCACCACTACTGCAGGTGTTGTTATATTTTATATATTAATCCTTAGATGAAAAGAAAACCAAATCTATTCTTCAACGCGTCATAGATGAAAATCAACTGAATAGAAGCCAATTTATCAAAGAAAGTTTCACCCATAAACATTAAATAGAATATTTTGTAAATAGCATTCAGTTTTTTCATATTTTTTTGTGTTTGGTAATTGTTTATATACAGGTCCCTCATCACAATATGCAGTCTTTTAACGTCAACATAATGTCAATGGCTGCCGAATGTCTGAAATCAGACGGCTACAAGTACCAGTACCAGTGATCCATAGATGGGCACTGCTACTGCATTATGGGCACCACTACTGCAGGTGTTGTTATAAATTTTATATATTAATCCTTAGATGGGAACTGATAATGCATTATGGGCACTGTTGCTGTAAATGTCACTGTACTTTACTGGTAATTAAGTCCAAGGTACATTATATTGTACTAATATGCAGGTATGATTAAATTGTTTTATTATTAAGAAATAAATGGGTTTTTTTTAATTATTATTTATAATTTGTGAATGAATAAGTTTGATCACTACATACCTAGATTTTTGGGTAGGTGTTTGAATAAATACAGACAATAAATAATGTAAAACCTCATGATTGTCTATTTCTGGGGTACCCGGTGTACGTCACTGATCTTGCAGAGAATGACTTGCATGTAAAAAAAAGAACAAAATGATAGAATCACAAAGTACAAAATAATTGCATTTATTCAAAATAGTGGTTGGTAAATATATTCTTTGCTATATGAGGAAGACATCACTTTAGTCAATTGCATTTTACGACAGATGCAGTCAGTGGCAGTGCCAACATAGGTCTGGGGGAGGGGGGAGCGGGGGTGGACCCGTTGGAGAACCCTGGACCTTTTGTCGGGGAAGAAACCAATCAATCTACCAGGGAACATTGGTTTCAAAAAGCATTTTTACAGTATTTTAGCCATAGCCGAAGTTGGACTGCCACATTCAGCAAGAAAATTCTGCGGCATAGGCTGGGGGAAGTACCAACGAATGGAATTACAGGAAGGGGAGACATAATAGTTCGATTTACTGACTTGGAAATAGTAAGTTTAAGATATCTTGAAAGGAAAGATGGATCAATTCATCAGCTAGAGGGACTGATGACAGTGGAATATTGAAGCGTTCCAGTTAGACTTGCCACAAGTCCCTAATTTTAAATACAGTATTGACTTTTCATAATGTTAGATAATTTCGGAGAGCGCCACCAGCGTCTGTTAGAATTTGGATGGGAATTAGTATGGAACGCCATGCAAATAAGTAATATGGAACGCCATAGGTGCCAAAATCGATTTATTTTTAATAGTTTTCACTAATTAAGACACAATTTAAGAACTGGAACCCAGTCTACTTTCAGGTGGACAAGGCTGAATTTATTGGCATATACAGGAAAGAATTGATGCAAGTGTGGGTTCAGTTGCATATCCATAAGTAGGAATAAGGATTAATTCTGGGGAAATTTTAGAAAAGGGTGGGATGAGGAGGGGCTCAGCGGCACATCCAAAAAAACAAAAACTTTCCGTATCAAAAATCTGGAATGTGGGGGAGGGGGGAATAGGTAGGAGCTATATACTCTCACATTTATGGAAACTGCAGCTCTGAGCTATTTTTAATCTGTTCTGAGACATGTAATTATGCTCATAATATTTTAAAATTATTTTTAAAAAAGGAAATACTTTTCCAATAATATACCATGTCTAAATGGGAGGATCTTTGCCTGCCTGACAGGACACATAAGACTCACTGGAGACACACTGCCTATAAAGCAAAATCCTTGAAATGCATTCTTAATGTAGACTTCCTATAGCACAAGCATGTCCATGAAGTTGACACCCATTTCCTTTATACCCTGTAGTGTAATATATAGCAGCTGCAATTTTACACTTAAATTAAAACGTAATAAAAACAGAATCTATATACAGTAGGTAGTAAAACCCTATTACATTCTACCACATAAATCAATATAAAGTTGAAAATTAAAACCAAAATATCAATTCCTTAATTTGCATAGTTCACTAAATTTAGAAGCTTTGAACTTAAAAATTATGAGGAAAAATATTCCTCAGCGAGTAAATTAATTTCATTCCTTATCGCATTTGCTTTCAGCCAAGTTTAAACTACCAAATTTTATTTGACAAAAATCTGTAATATGCCCAAATATGGTCATGGTGACATCATATTATGACCATATCGTCGCTCACATCACGAACTAACACAATCAAAGTAGACTCTGTTAGTTTGTGAAATCAGAGTAGCGCGTCAAAATCAGCGCGTATTCGTTGTCAAGTAATTTTGAATTCTTTACCACTCAAAAAGTCGTTAACAACAGCACGTATTTTGACGTGCTTTCTTGATTTGACAAACACAATCTTCTTTCATTGTGTTAGTTTGTAATGTGACGATACACATAGCCAAACCATGACTATATATGGCCATAAAAGAGTAGTTTGCCAAAGACAATTTTATAGTGTGGACAGCGCTTTAACCTTGAATTTCTGACAGAAAACTTAGGATTTATACAGTATTAGTTTAAATTATGAAAAATCTGAGTTTACAGGGGCGGATACAGAGATGTCCAAAAGGGGGTGCCGTAAGGGGCCTAAAGTTTGGCCGATCAAGACAACACTGTCCTAGGGGGTCTGGGGGCATGGCCCCGTAAAATTTTTGTGTTCTAGATGCCCGAAAATAACATTTGAGGCGTTCTGGGCTTATATATTTTTTCCTTTTCTTTCTTTTTTTCCTTTTTTTTATTTACCTCCCAAAAGGGGTCCGGGCCGGGCCGGCTCCCCCTAAATCCTTCCCTGGTTTAATTAAAAGGTAAATTTAATTGGTTCTTTTAAATCAGCAATCTAAAGCTTTAGCCAGGAACATAACTCAACAAACATAGATACATATAATTGTACATTATTGTCTAGATGCATCTTCCCCAAAACTATCAGCTGTTCAGTCTCTGGTTCTACAATGTAAAACAATGAAGTAATAAACGCTAGAATGTTACCCCGGTTTTTACGAGTATAGTCATGCGTAGCGCCCTCAGCAACACCCCCTGGGATGAGAATACTTGTTGCTGGCAGTGAACGCATTAACCATCTAGAGCAATTAGACACACTATAATGTTGGCCTTTTGCCTGAACTCTTTGAGATAAAAAAAGTAATGTACAGTTAAACTTGCCTAAGTCGATTTAATTTTTTTATGCCAAATTGTTATGTTTTCCATTAATTGACAATCTATAAAGTCAAATTTTATCTAAGTCAAACAATATTTCAATGGCATTTCGGATTCGATTAATAAGCAAGTTTAACTGTGTTTATTTGAGTTTAAGATTATATTATAAAACATAACATGCTTTGAGGTGAAGTGGAGTTTACTGACCAAAATAATACCCTGTTGTATTTTTTTTGTTTACTATACCTAAAAAATATTAAACAGCAAACCGCTTGTCTACATTTCAAACTGAGGGTGAAAATACACAGGTTGCATACGCTTCACGTAGCCAGGCACGTGATAGTTGATTTTGCGTACTGAGTGGAATCGACCAATGAAATTGAAATATTACCTAATTAATATTTATGAGGTATAGTAATAGTTGTGCAAAACTGTAACCTCTTGGTAGTTTCCCCTGACTCTAAGTGTCTCCCACAATTCTTGGAAGCTCTCGTACCCCTGGGTAGCTTCCCTATCCCTGGGTAGCTTCCCTCCACCTGGGTAGCTTCCCTACCCCTGGGCAGCTTCCCTACCCCTGGGTAGCTTTCCTACCCCTGGAGAATTCACCAAACCCTGAGCAAGCTTTCCAAATGCTTGGTAGTTTCCACATTCCTTGGGTAGCTTTTCTGTCTCTGGGTAAAATCCTTAGCTTGTCTACACCTGGGTAGGCTCTCTCCTACCAACAGCAATTATCTGCCTAATAATACTGTAGCGCCCTCTCCCTAAGCAGCATTCCTACCCTTCAGTGGCTTTTCAACAGCTGGTAGATCACTCACCAGCTCTCTTTACCAAAGTACAGTAGCTCCCTACAAGTGTAAAAGTAACATGTTCCTATGCATCCTCAATCTCTTAGTAGTTCTCCTGTTCAACAATAATGTAGTGTTCTATCAACTCTTCAACGGATTATTTCTAATGCGAGGAGGTGTATCAAATACATCTACATTATGTAATTTCCACATAGGATGATGGAATGAAATATTGAAAAGTGAGACTAAACGTCGAAAGATCACTTCCTCTCTAATATACGGATGACCCGTTGTGTGGTGTTTATCATGCCACTTGTACATCTCACACTCGCTCAGCTTGCCATCTTCATAATAGTGATAAGGTACAGCAGAGTCTTGGTTTCTCCTGTTACAAAAGAAAATGTGTTTCAAAATCATTGTTTTTGTATATTTATTTCAACTTTTAAGGTACCGTAAATGCTCGATTAAGCGCCGCTCTCGAGTAACCGCCACTCTCTAATAAAGCACTGCACCAAACATGCTTTTTTCCGCTAAGCGCTGCTCTCGAATAAGCGCCGCGGCGCTTAATCGAGAGTCTATCATTACCCATGTGTGTAATGAACACTTTGAGAAATAGTGTTTTGAATGCAATGTATATAGTGTTAAAATGAATAAATAACACAAAGAAAACACAAGCATTTCTTTATAAACGTTTACTTACAATGACATGGACCTATGACAGGCCTACTGAACTACGGGAATACGTAAGATAAGTAGCATGGAAACGGGCATGGAAAGCACCACGCAAATTCCCTTTTTTGTAAGCGCCGCTCTCGAATAAGCACCAAAGCCTCCAAAAATGCTTTACTTATGTTTTACTTATCGAGATTGTGTGTGCTTCTGTTCAGATTGTAAAAACTTCTTTCAACAAAAAATTGTATGCCCATCAAGGGCTTAGCCAGGAGCCATCTGGCCGTCGTTTGGACGGCCAACTATTATTTAGGACGGTCACTTTTTCCGTGATAGCTTGGAAAGCTTGGCCTTCTCAGCTCAGTCTAGCCTAGTTGGCTCTGGTCTAACTTTAGCAAATTCTTTATATTCTTCGAATTTATCAAATGTTGCATTAAAAACTAAAGAACATTTTGGACGGCCTATTTCATTTTTCTGGCTAAACCACTGATGCCCATATATGGTCGTGATGTGCCTATATATGGTCATGATGTGATGTCATCTTGACCATACTTAGGCATGCCACATTTTTTGTCATAATACAATTTGATATCCTGGACAAGACTTTAAACCTACTTGCAATAGTCCTTATCAATCATTCCGTAAACCTTGATGGAATCGCACAGACCAATTGCGAGTAACAGCGTCAACCATCCAGTTGATATCCACGTGCTCGTTGCTCTAAATAAAAAAATACATCTATTTTAACATATTATTCCAATACTAATAACAACTTACTTTAATTTTTTATTAATACTTTTTAAAAATTAACAATATAATTAACAATTAACTTTATTTTTTTTTTCTAAATTTCAAAAATTAAATTCAAAGACAGTCATTAAAAAATTTTTAAAACGTACACTGAGAAATTTCTTAGGTTGTTGTGAGAATATTCTATGACCCCCAACGCAGTAACATGAGAACTCATCACGTCTGCATTTAACTTTAACAAGTTGCGTTGTATTGTGTTGTACGCATCCCAACACCTTTAGAATATCGTACCTTGCTAATCCTGATTCCATCTCAAATATTCTTGCAAATTGTTTTTCTACCAGATTTTGAAAAACGTACATATGCAGATGAGGGTGGCGGTCTTTGATGCGTGTCAGGTACTTGCGAGTATACTTGTCGAGTGAATCCAACGCACCCCATGCAATAATCTATTATTACAATAATATCACAAAATTAAAGGTATACTGTACTACTGTATATGTGTGCTGACATAAAGTCTTCAAAATAGTGCTTGTTCCTTTAATTATGTGGCAGTGCGTAGAAGCGAATTTAAGGGGGCCCAGCCGGCCTGGGGACCTAGTTGACTTGGGGGCCTAGCTTGCCCGGGACCACTAAATATGAAAGAATATGAGGGAAAACAAAAGAACTGCATTCAAATTCAAGTTTGAGATTGGCATTTCCAGACCCTTAGAGGTGTTGTAGACATAAAATTTGGCATTACCCATGCTTAAAACAAACTGTGTTGGGGCTCAGGTAGGCTGGACCATGGAGGTATAAAATTCCATGGTTGGACCCATCTATAACTTCCACCTCAAGGCCCTCCACCCCTTCCATTTTAAATTCATGAATCTGCCTCTGGTGCATATGGCCGAGGTGAGCATCATCATTGATAAGTGCTTGGGATTTGTTTTATGAGAATGTTGACAGCAGCAGTTTATAAGTTTGACTGAAATATTTTATATTTTCCAAAAGCTTTCTCCCCTTCAATGAAGACATGGTTGTTGGTGAAACCTTTGGAAATTTATTCTGCCATTTTTGAGTTGAATCATGTCAACAAAAACAGCCACTAGTGCCTTACAAGTTCAACCATCAACTCATGCTTAGTCAGTGGTGTATCTAGAAGGTGGGGGGGGGAGGGGCACTCCCTCCAAAAAAAAAGCTTGCACCCCAAGCCTCACCCCCCCCCCCTTAATTGAAAATACCCTAAGCAAAACCAATCATGCTCAAATATTTAGAATTCACATCATATCACCATACTTTGCGACCTAGCAGACCCTCACTTAATGATTGGGCCCCTCTCAAATTTCATGCTCCCATCAGGCCTAATTCAAGACACCTAGATACACCAGTGGGAGTTGTAATTTCTTCAGCTGTTTTTAAGTGCAAACCATAAAGAAAACTAAAGGCAATAATCCAGTCTACATGTCACTAATGCTTGTAGGGTATAAAGTGGACCAATGTGTTCATTAAATAAAAGCCGGTCCTGACCATCAATTTTTATTTGACAAAAACATGTTACAACATGCCCAAATATGGTCATGATGAAATCAGATCATGCGAAAAACAACAATTTTTAACAATTTGGTGATGGTTTTTTGCCTGAGAAATGACCTAAATTATAAACTTTCAAGGCTGATTTCTTAAATATTTTTCTTTAAACAGCTGCATATTTAAACGCTTGATGAACTTCGAAACAAAATGTTAGATTTAAATGTTTCTTTTATCATTTTATAGATCTCATTTTACTTTTTAACCCTGTATTAATAACTAAAAATCAATTTTTGCAACAAGTGATTGGATTGGCTTGTCTTTGTCACATTTTCAATAGCAGCTTGATGGGTAAGTTGAACCAAATACACAAATACTATGTCTCCATGGTCTGATACAGAGGTCACCATCTGTTTACAAACTAAATATTACCGGAGGTCCTCTGGTATACAACCCCAATTTTTACAACCCCAATTGGGCCAATTTGTGGGGTGGGTTTATAGCCAAGTAATCCCCTTTTCACAAAAATATTTATTATCATCATTTTTGAAACTAACAACATGTCTAATTATTTTCAAGGATGGCCAACCAAAAACCAATTTTCCAAAACTGCATGTCGAATTATGAAACATGACTGGCTTGGCATCTTAACTTCTGCCTAAAGGTTACTACAAACATGTAAAATATAATAATGAGCGATTACCATTGTTATATAATTTTTAAAACCAATTTGAGCCACTTTGCTTTTCTTTCCTATTCTTCCTTCAATCTATTTCTTATTTTTATATTTATACACTACATTTTTAAAACATATGAATAATTACAAAAAAGTTTTTAATTTAAATTTTAAGCAAATAATATAAAATAAAAATATAAATAAAATAAAATATCAATAGTAATAATACTAACATATATTTAATATAAACTTTTTCAAGAAACTATTATAACTAATTCAAAGCCTAATGTTTAATTTTTTTTATTTGTAAAACTCAGCTTAGCTACTATTTCAAACCATATCCTGAGATTTTGCCCCAGGACAGGCTTATACGTAAAACTGAATATAATGTAGGGTACGGGCTTATTACTGAACTGGGCATACAGTATAACCAAGGAGCTATGGTATTAATATTAGTACATATTTTACAACACATTTAAAAAAAAAAATATCATATCATTGGTGAGTTGCTCAAGGGATTTTTCTTGAAGTGTTATAGAATTGTACAAGGAGGTCACCTAAAGGTCTTCCTAAATCATACACAAAACTACAAACTACAGTATAATACATTGAATTAACACTTAATTCCAATACAGAAATAACCCAGAAGAAAGCATAAGATGCATGCTGCTTTTAGCTTTCCCTGTGTGTGTGAATAATAATCTCAAAGGATTATTGTTAATCTTTAATTATATTCAAAAGGATTTAGACATAGCTTTGTATTGCAAAGTACAGGCATGGAGTGTTAAAGTGGTTAACTTGTCTCAAAATTAAGACGTTAACTCACAGGAAGAGGGTGGGACTAAGAGGACATGATATGTTTCATGTTTTAAAGGAGTGTAGGCCTTTACATCCTGTGTTAACAACTGGAAAATACCCCTCCACATTCAATTACATCAACAGTGGGCAAAGAGAGCCAGCCCATTGGGCAATATACAGCCAAAAATATTGGTAACAAATTTGAATACAATAAATATTTTTAGAAGATGTACTGTGCTTACGTAGCAAAAAGTTCCTTATTTTTCAAGAACAAAAACTAAATTCTCTACAGTTTTTGTTTTTTTTGTTGAAAATATACAATATTATTACTGGTTTGTTTTTAATTTAGTTTCTGTTTATTTTAAATGTTTTTAAATTTTAACTATTTAATGTTGTTGATGTGTTTTCTTTTTTCCAATTTTAATGAAATTTTAAATTTTCTTTTATTACTTGTATTCACTTTCATTTTTTAAATTTTGATGTATTTTAAATGTTCGATTAATTTTTTATGATCTGTTATGAAAAAATGTTTGCACTATATTTAAAACCAATTGAGCCTGTTAGCCCACTACTTCAGGCTGAAGCTTAAATGTTTATATCTCGTTAGCCCAAAATATCGGGCTCAAAACGTTTTCATTTCATTTCATTTCTTTAGGCACGAGGGCCAAGGATATGCCAATGAGTGAACTTAATCACTGTCCTACGTGGCATATCCATTTTCAACAACAGGGGACTTAATGGACCAGTACACTGGGGTAACCCCCTACTCTTCTCGAATGATGTACCGGGTTCTTTAAAGTGCACACGAGCCAAATGCGTACACTGGGCCTACGGTTTAAAGTCCTTATCCGAGAAGACTTGTTCCACCACCGGAACCATTGGCGAGTGAGCCGTTCGAAC